TTTTGCGAGATTACCTAATCCATGTTCCTACATTGATGTGTATGTTTCAGGTTTAATAGAAATCTAGAACGTTGAATGTGACAAGTCACTTAGGCAATATTATATCGGAAAATTCTGCTCAAACAGGGGCTGTCAGTCAGCTCCTGATTTGTCCAAGGCCCCTGTCAGTGTAGTGCCTCCCTATTATATCAGGGGAGATGCTAGATCCGTCCAGGGAGCTGAAATGGCGCCCTCCCCTATTTGGACAGGGCCTACAGATTTATCCTTACATCAAACAAATTATTGCTTCTGTATCCAATTCATTGACAACACGTCGAATATGCAGTATTACACCATGTCCTACAAGTATTAACCATGTCAATTGCTCCCTGCAAAGCAAGTCATTCAAGTTCAAACATTTTAGGGTGAGTTATCAAATCTAGCCCTCTTTTGGTGTCAATTAAAATCTATAAGCACCCGTTTGGGTCCCACTATTTCACATTATAATGAGAGGAATATTAATTTTTTTTTTGGAGAATGTGTGGTTATAAAATAAGAAAAAAAATTTAGATTTACGTATAATATTATACACACTTCGTCCCATTTATATAGATTGATTTTATTTTTCACATGGATTAAGAAAGTCGTATTTAATGTTATTAAAAAAGTAATTTTTTTCTAAATATTTTTTTAATTACCCTTATTTGTATTTGTACCATTTCGAGATTAAGTGAGAGAAATTGGTTATCATGCAAATTAAATAACGATATGTTAGTAAACAAAACAAAACAAAAGATTTTCTATAAGAAAAAAAAAAGATTATATTATTGAGACATGAAATAAGGAAAGTCGACCCATATAAATGGGATGGAGGGAGTATTATTGAAGAACGTATAGTTAATAAGAAAAGACAAAAAATGAATTATAATTTAAAGAGAGAAAAAATAAATTTTAATCTAAGTCAAAGTCAAAATTTATTTCAACCACATTTTATGAGTCTCAAAACTTTTTAAACACACTTCATTAATTTCTATCGAAATCTATTAAAAATCTAATTTAAATTTATTTTTTCTTTTTACTATTCAAAAATTTAATTCTCACCAAGAAACAGAACGACCAAACTGTGTGGTATTTAACACATACAACCAAAGTAAATGAACCGTACCATGTTGACAGCGTGAGCAATAAATACAATATTAAATTATAGTAGTGGTTTTTACATCATAGCATAAACATTGCAAGACCCTTCGTTCCAAGATTCAGCCATGGTCCCTCTCAAAGTTGCAGCACTGATTTTTTACATTCTAAGCAGTTTCCTTACAACATCAAAATCTATCGATGAATTCTCCTACAATGGATTTCGATCGGCAAATCTGAGCCTCGATGGCATGGCAAAGATCACTCCCAACGGTCTCTTGAAACTAAGCAATACCACCACACGAGAGAAAGGTCACGCCTTCTATCCTGATCCTATTGAATTCAAGAATTCCTCTAATGCCGCGGCTTCTTCCTTTTCTTCATACTCTGTTTTTGCAATGGTGTCTGGCTATCAAGAATTGGGCGGTCCGGGAATTATTTTCGTGATTTCGCCAAGCAAAAACTTTGAAAGAGCCAATCCAGCATTATACCTTGGCCTTTTCAATAAAACCAACGACGGCAATTCTTCCAACCATATATTTGGAGTGGAACTTGATACATTCAAGAATGATGAAGTTGAAGATATCGATGATAACCATGTTGGGATTGATATTAATGGACTGAAATCCGTATCTTCAAAGACATCAGGGTATTGGGATAATCCGGATTTGTTTCGTAACTTGAAACTTAACAGTGGTCATCCGATGCAACTTTGGGTTGAATATGATGGTATAGAGAAGCAAATCTCTGTTACATTAGCTCCACTGCATAATTCCAAGCCAAATAGAACTCTTTTGCAGATATCCTATGATTTATCATCGGTCTTAAAACCAACCATGTTTGTTGGCTTTTCCTCAGCCACAGGGCCTATACAAATAGCTACCCATTATGTTCTTGGATGGAGTTTCAAGATAAATGGTATGGCTCAACCACTTGATCTCTCTCGACTTCCTAAACCACCTCGTACAGGTCCCAAGAAGATATCGAAGGTTTTGACGGTGTATGTGCCGGTGATTGTTGTGGTTTCAGTAACACTAGCCATATGGGGAGTAGTTTGCTATGTGAATAGGCGGAGGAAATTTGCTGAAGTGCTTGAAGAGTGGGAGCGTGATTACTCTCCTCAGAGGTTCAAATTTAAAGATTTGTATAAGGCCACTAAAGGGTTTAAAGATAAGGAGATACTGGGCAGGGGAGGATTTGGAAAAGTATACAAAGGTGTGATGCCTAGATCTAAAGTTGAGATTGCTGTTAAGAGGGTGTCTCATGAATCAAGACAAGGGATGAGAGAGTTTGTGGTAGAAATTGCGAGCATGGGTCGACTACGCCACCGGAATTTGGTGCCACTATTGGGATACTGCAGGCGTAAAGGTGAACTTCTTTTGGTCTATGAATACATGTCCAATGGAAGCCTAGACAAGTTCCTTCACAACCAACCAAAGGTTACCCTCAATTGGGACCAAAGATTTCGAGTCATCAAAGGCGTAGCATCCGGACTACTTTACCTACACGAAGAATGGGAACAAGTCGTGATCCATAGAGACATAAAGGCGAGTAACGTATTATTAGACGGGGAATTAAACGGACGATTAGGCGATTTTGGGCTTGCAAGATTGTACGATCATGGATCAGACCATCAGACGATTCGCGTGGTTGGGACACTGGGGTACCTTGCCCCAGAGCAAAATAGAATTGGGAAGGCCACAACAAGCACTGATGTTTATGCTTTCGGGGCATTTTTGCTTGAGGTTGCATGCGGGAGAAGGCCAATTGATCCCAAAGCTGCCCCTAACGATCTAATTTTGGTAGATCAAGTGTTTTCCTACTGGAATCAAGGTGACATTTTCCGGTAGTCGACCCAAATTTAGGTAACAATTACGTAATGGAGGAGAAGGAAGTAGTATTAAAACTTGGCTTGCTATGTTCTCATTCAGATCCGAAATTTAGGCCTAGTATGCGTCAAGTTATGCTGTATCTTGAAGGCGCGTTGGCTCCGCCAGAATTGCCTTCAAGTGGCCTAAAATTTGAACAACATGATGAAGGGTGCGACGATATCCCCCTGTGGTCATATCCTTCTTCTTCTTCTGCTCAAACAGTATTTACGCAAACTTCCTCGGTCACAAATTGCCTCTCTGGAGGCCGATGAAAACATTGATCAATCTGTGATATTTCAAGTCCTCATTACTTACGGAATCCAAATGATCTCTGAATTAGTTAGAAGATCCTTTCGGGGTTGGCTAGAACATGTTATTTGTAACGTATGTAAATAATATCATGATAAGTTACTAGTTTTGAAAGAATTTTCTTTGATGTAGTGTATTTGGTTTCTATCAATAATATCCTTAATGATTCAAAATAAATAAAAATGTATTTCAGTGTCACCTTTAGAAAAAATTAAAAAATAAATAAATTATTAATTAAGAAGCTAGAAGGCCATACATTAAGTACGAGCCTCCACTAGAATCTTTTCAGGAGGAAAATCATCTTCGAAACTAGAAATAGTATTTAGAGGAAGAAATTTATGTGGGAAGCTATAAGAGACCAAGTCGGTTTATCATCAAGGTACTTTTGTAGAAAAAGAATTTGATTACGGCCAAAATGATTTCTTTTGAAAAGTCAAAATTAAGAAGCTGTTTCTAAATATGGACAAGTAATTTTCAAAAAATGTTTTGTTTAACTAGAAGTCTAGTGAAACAATCCCTTAAGTTCTTTTGGATAGATGTACCAAAAATTCAATAATATCATTAATTTGTAAATAGGAAGCACTAAAAGTCTCACACTTCCGTGTGACTTTTGACTTAAGAGTTTTCATAAATATAAATACTTCCAGACTTGGAACTTGTTTGGTAGGAATTTTAATAATTGATTTTTTGACCATTAGAGATAAATTGGGTTCTATTTGTGAGAGAAAAATTGAAAAATAACGACTGAAATAGTAAAATAACGATCAAAAAAATGATTTTAATTGACTTAAAATATGTATCAAACAAGCACTTGATGAAAGGAGGATATTGATTATCGAACCCGTTCGTTTATCTATAAGAAAAAATGACATTTTTTTATTTTTTGAGTTGTTCTGTCGAAGCGATATTTGGTTACAATCTTATATGTCACACAAAAAATGTGGATATGGACTGATTTTTCTAAGTTGTGCTTGTGTGGAAGGATACATTGGTTGACAGGAAAAATACATAACTCAGCTGTATTGTTTACATCAATTCAATTTTCAAGTCCTAAGTTTAAAAGTGCAAAAATCAGGTATTTATTTATTAATTAAATTATTTTATTAATTAAATGTAATGAGATCACAGTTATAGAACTAATAGTCACAAATACAAAATTTTAGGCCACAATTTATTTATTAGTCACATATTATTAAATTAATTAGTCACAGATTATTTCGAGGTCACAAATAAAAAATTTTATAGACCACGGTTTATTTCGATGGTCACAGATCTAAAAATTTATAGGTCACAATTTATTTTCGGTGGTCACAAATCTAAAAATTTATAGGTCACATATTTTCAAATTTGTTGATAACAATTAAATATTTGGTCACAAATGGTAACATAAGTCAAATAGTGGTCACAGACCATTGCCACTAACACTATCGCACTGCAATTACCATCACGATCACTTGCACTCTGAGGAGTTCCATTTGGCCGACTTTCACACCGCTGGCTACGGGTTTTGCTGGTCGGATGCAGCACAGTGCATCGAGTGGGCACTGGCACTTGTGCTGAGCTGCAGGGGAAAATTTGTAATTTGTAAAGCAGTGAAGGTGTAACAAAAGTAAATTAATATGCTGTATTAAAGAGGCAGGGGGAAACAAGGTAATTGTCAAGTATTTTGGGCTCCCATCTTGAAAGCTTTTTAAGGGACTTCCACATTTTTTTTGTTAGTTCACGATCTAGTGAGAGGGCAAAAGGGATACAGTATGATCCTTGGTTCAACTGCGTTTTGCTATATCACGTAGAAGCATAATGGGGGCAGACAACAAACAAGAAATATAAAAATCAAAAAATGTGCTTCACTAAATTGCAGAAGAAATATGCATTTGCTATGTAACATAAACTAACTCATCAATTTTGTGTAAACACAGAGTTTGAGCAATTTGTAATAAATGTGAATGAATAGGAAAATAAAGTTTCGAAATTAGCTACCGTTCAAACATTTATTTCGGGTCACATGTTCAACACCTACAGTTTATTATTAGTGAAGAAGGGAAAAGAAGCCAATTGCAATTTCATTGACATGCGACGTTGCCCCAAAAAAAACACTACATTCTTAAAATATGAAAACAGTTTACTCATGAATTGGAGACAAAATATAATGAGAAAATTATCAAAAACTTGTGAGTATATTCTAGTTCATAATTTTACTTATTTAATAAATGCCCAGTAACTTTTTCATTGAGCCACAGATGAACTTTTCCAAGGAGAAGTGTATAATGGTTACTAGGTCTTCAGGGAAACAGTTCCACTGCTGGCCGAAGTTATCCATTGTGGGAACGGATTTGTGATGGAAGTTCGATGTTTGGAAGGTGCTGAAACTAACCCGGGGTCGAACCTTGCTGTACGACGAGCTATGGCGGTTGCGGTGGTTAGACGGAATAGCAATTACGCAGTGGTTGTTGAGGAGCCCAGTTACCGTCGATAGGAGACTGGAGCAGACGTTGGTAAGGTGCTTCGATGGATGTTAGCCGAAAATGGTAGGCAGAGAAATCTGGGTGCAAGGAACACGAACCGCACCGGTCTCGTATTGGGCTACCTCACCTTCAGCCGACGAATACTGGACGACGAATCTTGAGTGGTCGAAACGATGTGGCTTGAAAATCTCACCGGCAGAGAGATCCGATTACAGGAGAAGCAAGGGGCGTCGTTCGAGTCAATTGGGAAATCAGAAGGTAGGGCTAGAAATTTTAAGGGAAATCTGAGGACAACAATTGCTAAATGAGGGCAAAAATGGGAGAACACGACTCAACAGCATTGTTCCCAAATTCGCAATCTGACAGAACAATAAAGCTCTTTGAACAGGTTGAAATCCAGGCTGAAAAACAGGAATTTGAAATTTTACACGTGACAGTTGTCAGCCCACTTAGTTTTGGAGGGAAGCAAGCATGGACCACAATTTTACTCCATTATATCCTCCATTTTCCCACCGATTTTACTGTAAGCAGAGTCCTTTTTTTACAAAACAGAAGCCCCAAATGCGAAACCGTCCACTAACTATTCACTCTCAGACGATGTTAAATATCGTCGACGACGATTAATCCCTGCCGAAGACGTGTGCATAGGTAAAATCAATTTACGTTGTGGGTGCCCGATTAGCATTTTGGTTTCACTCTTCTTCTTTCTCGGTTTTTTTGAAGGAGCGACGAACCAACTGATTTTCTTCTTATAGTTTAGGTGAATCATGATGTTAGGTGGCCTTCATTGTTATAGTTTGCGTAGATCTTGAAAATTTTAGGTATGTGAAATTTTAGTTGTAATATTTTAAAGAGAGGGAATGGCAACTACTTCTTGATTTTTGGGCTAGGGATCCTACTTTTATGTAGAACTAATTAAATTATATGAGCACTAAACTCGTGTATTTTCAAGTGTATTACATGTGCATAAATACCAGACATCTCTGTCTCTTATCAGAGAAAAGAATAACAGAGGAAATGGTGTTCCCTCTTAATTTTTATTCTTACTATAGTTATGAGCAAATGGTTAGGCCTCTTAATTTCTACTCTTAGTGTAGTAATTGTGTTGTTGAGGAAAATCAGCTTCTCTATTTGACAGATGTCTTGGCTTGGTTATTTAAAATTTCATTAAAATTGATTTTATTGTTATTTAACAACTTGATTTTACCATCCAAACTTATTTGACGAAGGTGGCAAAGGCGTGTTAAGGTACAAGTGTTGTTATTTCAATCCAAATCTTCATTTTTCCTTTTTCAATTTTGTTTCCTTGTGAAGATCAATGTATGTTAATGTTGGTAGATTTTTACTTGTGTTTTAACTGTTTTTCAAACTTTTGAAAATGGGGCATGTTCATGAGAAAAGGAGCCTGAAAACATGATTGATTTGTCTTGAGAAATTAAGTTAGTTAGATTGTTAGCAATTCAAAACTTTGAGTTGAGTTTTGCTTATTTTCTTGCTTATCTTTATTGCAAAAGCACGTCAATGGACTGAATTTTCCCCCTCACTAGTTTCTTTTATCTGCATTTTTTTCGCTGTTATGGTCAGTGTTGTTGTTACTTATGGAGAATATGTTTTCCCATTTCGTCTACCAGGAAATGAAGGAATGTGGTGGTTCCAGTTTATCGGCCTTTGCAGTGAATCTGGAGTTTAGGAACTTTGCAAGTGATTTCCAGTGCCCAATTTATTGGTCAAATTTATGGTTGCATATTCAGATTTGTTTAGTTTTGTAACCCCCAATGATAGTTTTCTTATGCATTGGGTATGTAACAGAAGCAACATTGTAATGGGTAGTGGGATGATTACCTACATGGTTTTAACAATTGTGTGATCATTTTTTTCAACATAAGGCAACGTTCTAATGGAGAGTGGGATGATTAACTTTAGTGGTTTTACGACTAGTATTAATTTATTTCTCTAAATTATGTTCGTTTTTTAAATAATTCTATCTCCACCAACCAGTTGTGAACATATTACTTTTGTCACATTTAGAGACCGAAATTTACGAAATACCATTGAAAAAGAATACATTTGTACTTCAATACAAGTTTTCGAAATTCTAATTCGATAGAATTGTGAGGCATTAGTAAAATTCTAATTCCTAAATTCATTTTCATTCCAAGCGAACCATGGGTTTCGGTAATACATAAGGGCATAATGCAAAAATATAGATTAATATACAGGGGCATAATGCAAATATAGATTATCCACAACGATTGCAAGTTTGGAACATAAAACAATACCAGTTTGCTTACAAGATCAAAACTGAAACTGGTAATTAGTTCTTGTCTACACGAAACTGAAGCATCTAAAATGTTTCCATGATGCAACATGTCAAGTAGGCCGCTTCCTTTTCGCATTCACTTCCGTGGTTCTTCTTTCCGTCCGGATGCTCACATTCACATTCACCAAAATCTGTAATTCTTTTTCGTCACTTATCCTAACTCTAGATTGAAACACACGCGACATTTCTTCATCTGTGTTGTCCATCACAGTGGTAGGGGCGGTAGTGTTGCCACGACTACATTCAGCTCTTGATTTTTCTTTTACAACCCACTCCCAAAATCCACAATTCCAACCACAACAAAGGAATAATTTTCCTTTATTATCGTTATCTTTCTCCTAAAACATACGATACACAAATTAGATTTAATGCCAATACTAAAACCAAGCACAAAGGCAGCAAGGGAGCCAATATAGAAAAGATGCCCACAATTAAGACCAGAACTCATGAAAACAGAAAATCCTATAAGCTTTAAACAACTCAACTGAGTAGATTGTTTCATTCAAGATACCAGGACTCATAGCAGTCAATAACAAATATAGTGAATCAAATAAACAATATTTTGTTTTTCAATACTGGAACTTGCATATAATTACACCAAATGCCTAAAACCCAGAAAATGTGATACATTTAAATTGTTGAAACTTTAGAGATATCAAGATTGCCTCAAGAACCTCAAACTCTAAATATCAGATCTCTTAATATCCCATTGCCCAAAGTGAAATCTTTTTTTCAGATTGTTCATCTAAATTCCCCCAAGAATTGCACATTTATTGTAAGAAATGCGAAAAGATACCTTTAATTTGAAGTTGAAGGGAAAACCACAACACAAAATAACCCAAAAATGCACATGAAATTCTGGGAATGTGCAGTGTGGAACAAGAAATCGTTGGAATGAAGCTATATTAATAACAGGCCAATTGGGTTCAATTTTTTTTTTTTTTTTTTGCAGTTTTTCAAAAACACGTTTCTTTTGAAAAAAATTGCAGTTTCACGAACTCACAAACAGATCGATTTTATAACGTCCTTATGAAAATTGCAATTTCCTGGAAGGAAGGGATGACCCAAGAAGAAGTTGAGGTTTATATATCGTGATTAAAATATATATAACAGGCCGATTTTATGAACTGCAAATCATGAAGAAATATTAATAACTGGAGCTTGTTATTGTTTTTAAAACGTCGTTTTCAAATGGCGATCGGAGCTCGTCGATCCTACGTCGTCGACACCGTTTGCGAAAGTTCAATGCGACGACACCACCGAATATGTACAGTTGGATTTGTGGATTTCTGTGGGTTTTGAAGAGAGAGAATAAAGCAACTTTGGAGAGAGAAGGCTGGGGGAGAGTGGGTAATGTTCCTTTCCCTGCCACTTTCTTTATTTTATTTTCAAATGCCAGGTCAGCCTGTTTTTGAACCTGTATTCTAACCTGTTTGAGTAGCGGGATTGCTGACAGAATTTTGGTGCTAGGCCTTTGATTTCTTGCCAACATTGTAGAAAAATGAGTTTTGATCCAAAAAAGTTAATTAAATTGAGCACCAAACAGGGGTTATGTACTCATAAGGGAACATGATGTAAGTTTCATTAAATGCACTTGTCAATTCAATAACCCATCCAGACAACAACCCAAGCCGACTTGAGAGTCGGGCTACATTGTTGAATAATAATGGTTTGTACAAACTTGAACTATTGCTTGACCCAACTTACGTACACTTTATAATATTGTTGTGTGCCTATGTCAATATTTGATGGGCTAATTTTTTATTATTATTATTTTTTTTTTTTTTTT